ACAGCATCCTGTACATTTATCACACCAAACAGTTAATAAACATTATGTGGCACAGTCCCCTCAGTAGCATCTCTCTCAGTCAGTGTATAAACTGTGTCTAACCCCCTACTTTCCTGGATTACTCTCTACCCTGTCAAACATTTTAAAGGTGACCTGCAAAGATACTAAGTTTTGCCACCTAGAGGCAGTAACAGTCCAGGTGTTAATGGCATATGCGCTATATTTTGTATTTACTTAGCACCTTCCACCAAAAGGTTTCAGGGGGCTTTACAGACATTATGGTCAAAAGCTGGTCCTGTTGAGTCAAAGACAGAACTCCCATTGACTTCAATGAGAACATGATTTTGCCCCATTTAACTGAAGTGGAATTTTTATCCAATATCAAAAAAGAAAAAGAAAAAAAAAGAAAACCCCTCAAGCTCCTGCCTATTTACACAAAGACTGCTGGCACAGTGCTGCAACCATACCTAAGTATCAGTTTAGTATATTTGGGGATAGTGGAGCAGGAGTCAAAAAGAATCACTCTCTCTAATAGATTAAAGGGGACAGAAACAGGACAGTAAGAAATTGGGAAGGGACTTGCCTCCTTCATCCCAAGCAGTGTCTACACTTATAAAAGATCAAATCATGCTGTGAAAACTGATCAAACTTAACCGTTGCGATTTGGGAAGCTCTGGCATTACAAAGCTCAGGTCTGTTACTCCAAGAATCAGCCTACAAGTGGAACAGCTCACTGCGTATCATAGGGGTATGGTTCAGCCAGTCATGTGACTTTCAGCACAAAGTTTTGCAATGAAACTCAGTTTTTAATCATTAATGTCCATGCAGACATAGCAAAATGTTTTGTTTCCTGTTTTTGTAAATTTCATGGATATACATAAAAAATGTTTAAAAATGAACTCATTTCCATATTCAAAATGGAGCAGAGTTTCATATAGTTTAATAATGAAAGATTAATACAGCCTTATTGCAGAGTGAATGATAACCCTTATATATATATATATGGAAAAGAGCAATGATATATGCTAGGGTTTGCTTTTTTTTAAATCGCTTTTCGGGTCTATGAGCTAGGATGTGAAAAAATTATCTAAGTTAATTCACTTTATTCTCGTTGGGGTTTCATTTTTCAGTCATCAAATTTATTTTGAGAAGTATTCTCACACAGCTCTGGAGAGTCAGTGGAGTGCATTAACTGCAGACTTCCTCCCCCTACTGAAATACTGGTTAGAAAACCCTTGAGACACAAAGCTAACAGTCTCTATGAATTCATATGCAGTGCCAATGATGCCACTTAATTTCTATTCTGCTAAAATGCACATGGGAGATTAAAGAACTTCTGTGAACTGTTCAAGTCTGATCCTGAAAACATGCATGTTTGTGCCTAACAATCAGAAAAGTAATTTATGCCTGAATAAAGAAGATTTCTACGTAGATCAATCGGTACTAAAAGTTGAATTTGTTTGAGAGGTAAACTACTTTGTACTTTCAACTTTTTAAAAACTCTTTTAAGTCATATATTTTTTTAAAAACTGTCAGAGTATGTATGCTGGATATTACTCGAGTTCATCGAGTTCATAACTTCCTGCAACTGTGAAAATTTAAATAGATCAAAATAGAAAAAAAATGCTTAAAAATAAATATAAATATCTGTCAATTATAAAAATATGAAAATTGAATACTGCCAAGCCAAAATACACTGTAAATGGTTAGGAAGTGCCTATTTAGTCTACAAAGCAGGAACTCAGAATTGTTAAAAGAGAGCAAAGACAGCAAACCAAGAAGCATTAGAGAAGTTGCAACAAGAGATTAAACACAAATAACAGCTTATCAAAACTTACTATAAAAGTAGCTCAAGGTTATGTAACAAACGTTAGATTTCCAACAGCTCAAAGCAATGTACTAGAACATTTGGAACACTGGCATATTCAAAGCAAGGTACTATTTTTTTAAATACAGGGCCAATCATTTCATTGTTAAAGATGCTGGCCCTCTCACACAAAACACCATTTGAAATAAAATCAGAGCATTTTGCTTGCATGGGCAACACAACCTTGTTTTTGAAGTTCTCCATCTCTACAGAGATTTGTGATATTTTTTATTCTGTATATACAGCACAAAATCAGTTGAGTTGCAACCTACACTTAGGGCAGGGGTCAGCAACCTTTCAGAAGTGGTGTGCCGAGTCTTCATTTATTCACTCTAATTTAAGGTTTTGCGTGCCAGTAATACATTTTAATGTTTTTAGAAGGTCTCTTTCTATAAGTCTATAACACATTACTATTATAGTAATAGTAAACTATTGTTGTATGTAAAGTAAATAAGTTTTAAAATGTTTAAGAAGCTTCATTTAAAATTAAATTAAAATGCAGAGCCCCGCCCCCGGACCGGTGGCCAGGACCCAGGCAGTGTGAGTGCCACTGAAAATCAGCTTGCGTGCCGCCTTTGGCACGCGTGCCATAGGTTGCCTACCCCTGACTTAGGGTATGTCTACACTGCAGTTAGACACCCACATCTCGCCTGTGCCAGCTGACTTGGGCTCCCAAGACTTGGGCTAAGGGACTGTTTAATTGCAATGAAGATGTTCAGGGACCTCCCACCCAGGGCCGGCTCCAGCGTTTTTGCCGCCCCAAGCTGCAGGGAGGGGGGGAGAGGGAGGAGAGGGGGAAATCCGCGATCGGCGGCACTTCGGCGGCAGCTCTACCGCCACCGCTTCATTCTTCGGCAGCAATTCAGCGGCAGGTCCTTCCCTCCGAGAGGGACCGAGGGACCCGCCGCCGAAGAGCCGGACTTGCCGCCCCTTTCCGTTGGCTGCCCCAAGTACCTGCTGGTGCCTGGAGCCGGCCCTGCTCCCACCTCAGAGGGTCCTAGAGCCCAGGCTCCAGCCCAAGCCCAAACATCTACACTGCAACTAAACAGCCCCTTAGCCCAGCTGGCATGGGCCAGCCACGGGTTTTTAATTGTGATGTAGGCATACACTTAAGATATGTCTTACACTGTACACTCTACATGGCAGTGTGTAGAGTACATACACTGCACCCCCCGCCATCCCCCATAGCATAGGTATAAATACCAGTGTAGATGGCGAGGCACTGCTTAGGCAACTAAAGTAAAAACATTTTGAACCCTGTGGGTATGAACCTTATATGGCTCTCTATATGCCCAAGCAATGCCTCCCCCATCTGCACTGCTGTTTTTAGCAATTTAGTGTTCTCCGGCAGCTCCCTGCTGTCTGAGCCTTTCACTAACATGTGTAGCTACACACCTCAGTGTGGATGCAGCCTGTTTTGCACTGCGGCATGTAACTACACATACCCTACATGTTGCCAGTGGTTTGGCAGTGTAGATGTAGCCTTACAGTAGTAACCCATGCTAATGAGTACGGTTCCTAATACACATACATTGCTCAGAAGAGTCTACCAGTAGGGTTTGCTCTAAAGCCCACTGAAATCAATGCAAGTCTTTTCATTGACCAGGTCCATAATCTTGGCTGTGTCATCAATAAGGAAAAGAGTTCTGCATAAATCTTGCAGATGAAGACATTCCAAATGTTGTGTGATAGAAAGTAAAATGGTCTAAGAATCTGATGACAAGATATATTGTACATATGAACACAGGAAAGATTTTTAGAAAAAAGATGAAAACCTGAGGAAGTCAATAAAAAAAATGCAACAAACTGTTTTGTTTTTAAGATGTTGAACTGGAAATGCACTCCATTTGTTGAATTATTTTTACTTCACCAAAGTGCAAAGCTTTCATTTAACAATGGATATTATGGGACACAGTCAATTTGATTTCTTTTAAATTGACTAATTTTTAAAAAATTATTATTTCCACTGCCCTGAACTCTATAGGCTTTTGTAAATTTTAGGATGTTGCATGTTTATTATCAGGAAAGAACATTACTGATAATTGCATCAGACTTCAAAAACTATTCAGCGATTCTGAGTCATTAAACTGACAACATGACAATTGCTCTTGTAAATAAAGCAGAATTTAGCCCACGAACTTCTTAGTTACAGCAATGTAAATCCAGAGTGATTCCCACTTGTTTCAAGGGAGTTACCCAACATTTACACCAGTGTATCAGAGCAGAATTTGGCCTTGTAAATATCTGTATTTACAGAATGAATCTGTTCAGCTCACAAGTCAATGGTGCTTATTATTGTATACAAGACTTTCTGCAAATAAGTCTTAATGTTGTTTCCATCCTCACCATTTGAAAAATGTTCTTCCAAATGGCATATTTCAGTACTAAACAGTTTATGTAACAGAACAGAACACGAATAAAATAAGACAACTGAAATAAAGCTCTTTGCATACTAAAGTTAGGCATATAGCCGAGAAGAGACTGGGATTTATAGCACTGCATTCTCACAAACAACAGCTGTCCAAACTTCTCACAATTTCACCACAATCTCACAATAAAAGACCCACCTGACATATTCAAAACAATACACTGAAACCAAGGCAAAAGCTTTTGCCTTCTCAGCTTCCACTCAGCGATCATCTATTTCCACATACTTAGCCACCATGTTCCACGTTCTTGCCATTTCATCCCATTTTCTCTCTCTTGCCAAGAGCCGTTATCACATTTCCTAGTGCAAGCATCTAGTTTTATTCACACTGCCTAATTCTGGCAATTCTAAAGCCACTGGACTCTGTTGAAAGGAAAGTAAGTGTGTGGAAATAAACAGGTTGATAACTGTATAAAAGTAACACGTTTGTATTTTTTGTGAAAGGTACTTTCCCCAAAATAAACCACACATAGCTTGATATTTTGGTCTAAAGGGCGTTTTAATTATGCTGTTCCTTTGTAACAGTTAATATAACTCCAACATATGTGAAAGCAAGAAGTCAGAGTTAGCAGACCCTGAAATCAGAGCATAACCATGACAACCCTTAAAAAAACAGCTGCTTTCAATTTTGCTTAAATCATGTGAGCATATCCCAGGACAAGTGTGGTAATAACCTCCTTGGGGGTAGTCAGAAGGCATTCTTACCTCACTGAAGGAAAGTCATCTGTCCTTGAGGGAGGAAGTAAAGATTGGAAAACAGAAAGGGATGCTGGTGCCTCATACAGTTCAGCTTCCTCCAGTAAAGACTTACTTTCCCCTGAGGTAAAAGAAGTTTCACGTTTGTTACTAATATTTCCTTTTTCAGGGCATCCCGTAAGACTAGTCAAAATACAACTACAAACCTCTCAGAAAACAGAAAAGTATGTTACCTACAGTAGTATTTTTGGAGTAGTGACGTGCCTAGTGTTGAATAGTGTTTGTGTTTAGGTCAGTACTGACTTTGCTGTCGGGATCTGTGTGTGGAAATTTGTGTATACTAAGGGATAATATATTCCTTTTTGCTTATTTATGCCAGATGTTACTTTACTTTAGTCAGATTTTGTCTCTGATATTACAGCTAATATTTATACAAGATGAGCACACACGCTCAATATTATCGGCCAGATCCCCAGGCTGTGTAAATCACCATAGCTCCATTGACTTCACTGCAGCCAGCTGAGGATCTGGGCCTGTCTGCTCTCTATGTACTATCAGTATGGTACAGTATGTCTCCTGAGCTTAGAATTGAATAAAGATTTAATTAAAAGATAAAATAGAGCAGGAAATTCAAAAAGTTGCAATTTATTAAAGAAAAAGTATTGTGCAATTTTAGCAGTGAAATTCTGCATCCTTGAGGTTGGTAATTAGAGCAAATTTCTAATTAAATATGTGAGGATATTCTACCAGCTACGCGCAAAACCCTGCCAACACTGCCTGGAGGAATTGAGCAAGGAAGGGGAGTGGAGAGGTACTGGTTGCATATCTGGCACAAGAGCCATTCTGCAGCTACAGGAAACAGGCAGGTTGCAATGTGCTGTTTACTGCTCTACTGAGTAAGAATGGCCCAGCAACTGGCACTTTGCAGAGCTGGAGAAAGCCCACTTGGAGACTCAGTGTGTGGACTGACACCGTAGCTGGATGCAATCCCAAGTGCTCTTGAGCAGTAGGGCTTTTAAAGGTCACACACTCTTTTCTCCCTAGTATAGTGCAAGGCAGGATTTAGCCTTAAGAGGGGAGAAATACATTTGAGTGTAATATTGATATATACCTACAGTCATGCTATAGTGTACCACCCTCAGCCAAGCTAAATCATTCTCCTGCAGGAGGGGATTACTCTTAGCAAAGGACTCCCTAACAGGAAGCCTAGGCTGTACTGTAACTTACTAGAGAATCTATCTGTGCCAAGCAAAACCTTAAGTCCTAGCAATAGGCACACATGCTTCTTGGTGACAATAAGGTTGTTCTGTGTTGTTGGTTACGTATAAATAATAACATATTTACAGCAACATTATACAACAGTTTATGGCCAGAAGTGCAGAACTCTCTATTTAGCTGAAACTGGAAGGGAACTCATTTAAATAAGAAAAATGCAATTGTCCAAATGGAAATTGGCCAAGACACTGTAACAAAAATCTACCTGCTGCAGGCAACAACTAGATAATTTACACACCTACGCAGATAAGAAGCCAGAATTGTCCTTCCATTCCAAAAACACAGGCTTCTACCACTTGAATTATCTCCCTTGCTGGTCAGAGTAACAGGTCCATTAGCCTCTATGTGGATCAGCCACTAGATGGCACTATTGCCAACATACAAGTACATATATACAGAGAGCCAGTACATTACAGTTGATGCTAACACCCACCACTGACATTGTAACGTTTTCCACTGCACCTTTATTGATCTTTAGTAGTCAGAGTCTCAGTTTTACACCTCAATTTGAAAAAATGCAAGCCCAGTATCATAGTCTAAGAGAAGCAAACAGAATTCTAATACTACAATTTTTCATTAATAAAAAACAGGAAAGTACTTCCCTAAGAAACATTTAAGTCAGAACAGGGTTATGGAGGTTCACAGGTGGTTCCTCTCCAAACAGTACTACACCTCTACCCCAATATAACGCTGTCCTTGGGAGCCAAAAAATCTTACCGCGTTATAGGTGAAACCACGTTATATCGAACTTGCTTTGATCCGCTGGAGTGCACAGCCCTGTCCCCCACGGAGCACAGCTTTCCCGCATTATATCCGAATTCGTGTTATATCGGGTCGCGTTATATCGGGGTAGAGGTGTATTTGTTACACACACACACAAAACTATGTTAAAAGAACATGAAAAAATGCATAGTCAAGCACAGGCAGTTCTGGCATTTCCTAACTTTTCAGTGCTTAACTCTGCAACCTTAACAACATTCTGTTAATAGTTTTGTGTGTGTAATTTCCTAGGTTTATAGAAAAGCAAACTAAAAAGACAGATCCCCTCATGGCATCCTACTGAGCCCTACATAGGTCATCCGCAGGGTTAGAACCTTTAGGTTCACAGAACAGTCCTTTGTCACTTCAGCTAATAGAGTAACTGGTAGCAAAAGTAGCCATGAGAGGGGGATCAGAAACACTTTGCCAGTGGGCTTCACAGATATTTGCTGATAGTAGATGAATGGTGAAACTCAGGAATCTTGTGTTCCACTCCAGGTTCTGGAGGGAAAAGTGCTCTAGTGGATATACATTCCTTCTGACCCTTTTCCCCTTGCCTGACCCCTTCTACCTGCATCCTGTCCAGCCTCTGTGTCAGTCATGCCACTCCTTCACCCAGTCACTCCTCTCAGTCCCCACACTCAAGCCCTCAACTACTCATGTCAGCCTTAGTATCCTTGCCTAGCCAATTTCAGTCTCTCCTCTCGGGCTCTGCATTCATGTTTCAGTCTCCTTGCCTAGCCAGTTGCAGCCTTTCTCTCAGGGCTCTGCATATGAATCCCAGTTTTTCCAGTCCCTGCTTCCAGCTCCCAACCCCCATTTCCCTCTCTGGGCTCCTTATCCCAGGGTGCCCACCCAGCCTGTGTTCATACTGTGTTTACCTGCTGCAAAACCCATTGCAGGTTTCTCTGGTGCACTGGGTACCTTCACACCTTTAATTTTAACACAGCTGAGTTCTGGCTGATTGTCCTCAAAGAGTTTTCTTTGCAATAACACTGTATATTTTACTCCACCTGGAGGGGGAAAAGGTAACAAGAAATTTCCATTCAAACTTCTTCATTTTGCCTTATTTTTGTTGTATTTTAACTACTATTCAGGCCTCCCTTTTGGATCACAGCAGGGTAAGTGTCTCTTCCACATCATGCTCTCCCCTCCCCGTGATCCAATGGAACCCACTTTATGAGTACACAGCTCTGTGGGTTTGGAGATAAAGGTCAAGCAGGGCCAGAAGGTTCCTTCCAAAACCTGCAGAGGTAGCTAGCATAAGTGGTTTTCACTCTTTGTGCTGTATAACAAACTGAGGGGGCAGCTGAGGTTCATAGGTTCAGATTAGTCCTGCCGGAGAGGCAAGAAGCCATGGGAACAGATGAGAGAAATTGACCTCTAGGCATAGATTCTTTATGGAATTGGGAGGTGGAACCTCTGGCCTCTCACCCTTTTTGCCCTCACCTTGCTGCATAAGTGACTGGCTCCAAACTCTCATGCCCTCCAGAAGAATCAGCAGGAAACACTGAGTTAAACACATGAGTTTCCACTCCCAACAATTGCTATTTCCTGGTAGATGAGAATTACATGCTCGGATTGCTTTGACAGATAGGAATCTAAAGCTTCATTAAAGACCCTTACTAACAGATCCTTTATTCTGACAGAACTCTCAGTATTTGTTCAAATATTTTATTTGGTAGTGACAACTCACTTAAAAAAAAAATCCACAGAGCAGTCTACTTGCCAGCAATTGAAATGTATACATAAAAATATCTGGGGAGATAAGGACAGCATTTTTTATTCCACTGAAATACATGGAACTGGAAGAGCTTTCCTGAGCAAATACAGCTATTTTATTATTAGAATAAAAATGAGAAAAGGAAATGAGTGCAACTTTGAAACATTAGTACTCCTTCCCTGGGGGAGGGGCCTGATCACTAATTTTTTTTTTTAAAGAAAAACTCAGATTATAAATCTGAAACTGCAGTTCTACACAGGCACGATTTCAGAGATCTGCCTCTAAGTTCACTGGGGACAAACCTGAAGATTTCTTAAAATATGAACAAATAGCAATCATTCTTATGGGGTTCACATTATATGAATCTGAAATAACCATCTAATAAAATTATTAAACAGTGGGCACACGCAAGTTGGTTATGGAAAACAGAAGTGATACGTTAGCAATATGATGAATTACTGTAATCCTGTATTAAAACTAAAAATAATATCCTTTTGTTTTCTTGTTTGTGCTAAACCTCCTTTCTCGCAATACATTTTATAAGGACTGTGGCTATTTAAATTAATACTTAACTTACCAATAGCATCTGAATCCTCTACCTGCGAAAAAGGAACCCTGGGTTTACTAAACCTAGCTTTTGCAGAAACTTTGTCCTTGGTATCCCATATTGTCAGAGTTACTTTGTGATCTCTCAGTTTTATTAGAAACTCGTTAGTAACATGAATATTAATACTGTGGTTCCAGGACACCCATATTTGGTCATTTTCAAACCACGGTTTCACAACCTAGGAAGAACACAGAGTTGAAAAACATTAATGAATGTGACAAGTACTGAAGAAAGATTCACACAATGAACATTCTGTTGCCATTTAGCTGCAGATATTCAGGGGAAAGGATCCATTAATGACCATATTTTAATTGAATTTTTAAAGAGCCTTAGAATTACAAAACACCAGACGTGCACAGGGAGCAGTAAAACATTTGATTAATTCAGGGGGGCATGGATTATACAGCCAGTAGATAGAGAGAATGGAGTAAAGCACGATATAGCACCCCATATAATTTTTCCCACTCAGAGAACAATTGGCCATCAGCTGGGATAGAGGTAACAAACTACATTAATAAAGATATGTGCTAAAAACTAATGAAATTGTTCTTAAAGTGTAAATTAAAATTAGACCATGCTGGAGGTTATCAGAATCTTTTAAAGAGATCTTGTACATAATTATGAGTCTATGTGTCAGCTGACTGTCACAGCAGCACATTTTGCTGAACTAAGTCAAAATGGCTATATCAAACCAAATTCTGATTTTGCAAAGATGTGGGATCAGAACAGAAGTTAAACTGCCAATAAGAGGAAGAACATATATTGAAGACTGAATGATATACTACAAGTTTGTATGTATACATTTTTAAATGTTGACATAGTATAAATGAAACGAAAGCACAAGTGCTAAAATCCACCCTATATTCTACAATATACTATGTCATGTGACTTTGGTTTCCAGGAATGTAACTCTGACATCTTTTATCAACATGCAATTGACTTTAAAACTTTGTGTTGTCTGGCCAGGAGGTGGAAAAAAACCCTGAATCTTAAAGAAATGGGCAAGAAATCAGACAGCCAATCAGAAGGGCTGGGAATACAGAGGAAAAGTTGACAGAAGCAAGATACAAGTTGGCCTTTTTGCATCGACTGTATGAATAAGACATTACATAATCCAAGTGAAAATGTAAAGCCTGCAACCCTTACTCATGGGAAAAGTTAATAAGCCTACCCAGGTGAGTAAGCAGGATTTGGTCCCAAATCTATTTCCAAAAAAAGCCTCAAAACCTTTCAGATGCATATTTGAAAGCAGAAATTTGATTTTATATATGAAATTTAAGTGGTAGCTAATTTGTCAAGACAGCTTGAATCAATGAAATCACTGGGACTACTTTGGTAAATAAGGGATACAGGATCTTGGAACAACAAATTTCATTTCTGTGAATTAGCCATGGCTTCTGGGACATCGTTCCTGAGCACTCTCTTTCCTCCAGCATCCCCCAATCCTTCGTTATTTATAGAGGATCTTAAATGGCCTAATACAAAATATCAGATACATATTTCTAGCCGTCATATCATCACCTATTGTATAGAGAGAATGTCATAACCTAAGCTTCACTTCTTTTTCACTGGCTGATTTTTTGCTGCTCAGCTCCCTCCATCTCATTGATTTTCCCCATCCCATTGCAAAACACTGCTTGAAACACACTTCCTCTAGGTTTCCTACAACAAACAAGGATCTGACCTTCCTTATTTTTCTGATTGCTGTTTGCAGTGTTGTTGTAGCCATGTTGGTCCCAGGATATGAGAAACACAAGGTGGGCAGACAATATCTTTCATTGGACTAATCACTGTTGGTGGGGACAAGCTTTTGAGCTTCACAGAGCTCTTCCTCAGGAAACCCCTCTTCTGGCCTTTAAACAACTCCCCAACCTTGCCAAGCTCATCAATCAGAAGCTCGCTCCCCACAGACCAAGGTAAACCAATTCAATGAGGCATCTGACCTTTCCAGAATAATAGATGCAAAACCTGCAGACATATCTCCACTGCTCAGATGATCAATATCCTCCACAATGCACCTTTCAAGCTCTATGGCAGTGGTCTCCAAAGTGGGGTGCGCAAGAGGATCCTTGGGGGTGTGCGGCAGGAGGAGCGCTTTTTTTTTCTCTCTCTTCATCCAAGCGTTTTTTTTTTTTTTTTTTTTTTTTTTGCTTTCGAAAAAATGGTAGAGCCGACACGGCAGGGGGTGTGTGCTCAAAATTTTTTTTACTGATAGGGGTGCGTGATCAAAAAAGTTTGGAGACCACTGGTCTATGGGTCCAACATATGCCTATCACAACATAGAATGTACCTGATCTAGTGCATCAAATGCCCCCAAAACAGCTATATGGGTGAAACCAGACAATCACTATGTTCTCAAATGAACTCACACAGAACAATGATAAAGAGACAAAAACACCTTATCACCTGAGGATGACCATATTTCACAAAGTGATCACTCCATATCTGGCCTTTCAGTCCTCATCCTCAAAGGCAACCTGCACATCATCTTCAAAATAGGAGCCTGGGAACTTAAATTCATAACTCTGTAGGAGACTAAAAATCATGGTCTTAACAGACACACTGGTTTGATGGCTCATTACAACAATTTGTAACACACACTGCAGCCTACTAACCGTCCTTTATCCTAGAACTGCAGTGGTGTTACGTGCCCACTTCATTTTAAGTGGTCTCCTACGGCATGTGTGAACCTCTTAATCTTAATAATCTGTTCCACTTTGTATTTAGCTGTGACACTGCTTCTCCAGACCTAAGGAAGAGCTCTGTGAAGCTGGAAAGCTTGTTCCCTCTACCAACAGAAGTTGACCCAATAAAAGATATTACCTCATCCACTTTGTCTCTTACTTTTCTCAGGGCATGGCTACACTTGCAGATGTAGAGTGATGTGAGTTAAACCAGCCTTCGGAGAGTGCAGTAGGGAAAGCACTGCAGTCTGTCCACACTGACAGCTGCTTGTGCACTGGCATGGCCATATTTGCGGCACTTGCAGCGGCATTGTGAGTGGTTCATTATGGGCAGCTATCCCAGCATGCAAGTGACTGCAACGTGACAGGGAGTGTGTTGCGTGTATGTGGGGGGAGAGAGAGTGGATTTTTGGGGGGCTGAGAGCATGTCAGCATGCAGTCTTGTAAGTTCAGACAGCAGCAGACCTCCCTCTCCCCTCTGCCTCTCTCTCTCACACACAGCATTCCATAGTAATGGTTGCTTTGTCTTGGAGCAGATAAGCAGCCGGCTGTCAGAAACAGAGCTTTCAAAGGCCATATCCACATTCCTGCAGTGATTCAAAACAATGACAAGGGTGGCCACTTGACTTAAGGGGATTATGGGATGTTTTCGGAGGCTGATCACAGCGCAGTAATGCAACACCCCGTTCACACTGGTGCCACAGCGCTCTAGCAGGGGTGCATCAAACGTTATTCCACTCGCTGAGGTAGAGTACCAGGAACGCTCTAGCCGCGGAGTCAGAGCCCTCTACGTGCCTTGCCAGTGTGGACGGGGAGTGAGCTAGTGCGCACGGGGCTCCTTTATTGTGCACTAACTAACAAGTGTAGCCAAGCCCTCAGTCACTCACTCCTCACATTCTCTAGTATCCTCATTTCTACTGTGACTGCATAGGAAACATATGTATAAAGGATGCTTTAAAACTATTATAGGTTAAATATGCACTGAGCCCTACACTAATTGTTACCCAAACATTTCCACTCTAAAGGTGCATTTTCTCTTTTGAATAACTTTGCCAATGCATTACACTTTTGGATCAAAATTTAGCATACCCGTTTTTAATCAAGGGGCAAATTCTTTTTCCCCCTGAAAATTTCACTACAAACAGTTCCGCTGTTCTCCAAAATAAATTCAGTTTTTCCTCCTAAAGAAGTTTTGCCCTCTTTTATTTCATTAAAGTGATGGAGTTCCTCACTAAAAGGTGTAAGAAACTTGAAAAATGCCAGGTTCGTAATGGCTGCCCCATTGATGTGCCTTTGCATGATTCAATGAAAATCATATAAGATTTTGTAATTTTTCCATGTTTAAAAACGTTTGTACGTGCAGAATGATTTCTGTTAAGAGATAAAACTTACAAATCATTGGCAACAAACAGATGGACATTTAGAAATAGTGTGGGATGTTTAATTGAAAAGATAATTTCATAAGGAAAGACAAAAAAGGGGGGGGGTAATATCTTTTATTGGTCCAGTAAAAGACATTATCACACCTACCTTGTCTCCCTTATATCCTGGAACCAACATGGATACAACACTCATGGTATGTTTGCAGTGTTGCTGTAGCCATGTTGGTCCTAGGATACAAGAGACAAGGCAAGTGAGGTAACATCTTTTATTGGACCAACTTCTGTTGGTGAAAGAGAGAAGATTTTGAGCTTCACAAAGCTCTTCCTCGGGTCCTAACATCACTTGTTTCAGGTCCTGAGGAAGGGCTCTGTAAAGCTGGAAAGCGTATCCCTTCCACTAACAGAGGTTGGTCCAACAAAAGGTATTACCGCACCTCCTTTCTCTCTCTCTTAATCTGAGATTATGTCAGACCCACTATTTCAATCAGTGGGTAGGCTGAATGGTGAGGGAGGCTGAGATTATGAACACTCCTGCCTCGTTTAGTGCACGGTTTATATGGAATGCAATGAGTGAGCATCAGGTCACACATTAATCAAATAATACATTTAAAAAGGCATCCAGGGTCTACAATTCTCCATCTCTAAAACTCTCCTACAGTTTTATATCCACTCACTGAGGAAATTATTGTTGTCGGCCGTTTCTGCCTGTAGCGCTCTGCTTGAACCTGTGCAGTCGATGGCTGACAGAAAAAGAAAAAGGGAAAGGATGGCAAAAACAGGAAGGAAAAGAAATGGAAAAGTGAAATGACAAAATGAAAGTATCTTAACTGCACTCTCTCAAGCTAATATACCTTTCTATTATTCATATATATATATATATATAGAGAGAGAGAGAGCACATTTTAACTGCATATGTAATTTATCTATTTTTATTATATATTGCCAGACATACCATCAACAATGATTTAGAAAAAATCAGCAACCACAAATTCACTCAGTTGCACTCTTTAAGGAATGCAGAAGTTTATATACACCTCTACCCCGATATAACGCGACCCGTTATAACACGAATTCGGATATAACGTGGTAAAGCTGCGCTCCGGGGGGGGGGCGGGGCTGTGCACTCTGGCGGATCAAAGCAAGTTCGGTATAATGCGGTTTCACCTATAACACGGTAAGATTTTTTGGCTCCCGAGGACAGCGTTGTATCGGGGTAGAGGCGTACCACCATTTTGACAGTACACACTTGAGAATCCATGCAATGTATGGACAGACTGCTCCAGTTGGGTCTGTGGGTACCAAAGGCAGTATGAAAAGACCATCTTATCAAAAGGATTAGGAGAACATCAACATTAATACCCTAAAGTTTCAGGCCCTGTTCAGTGTTGATCACTGATAGGTGGGCAGGGCAGGATTCATTGTCAAATTAAAGGGCAGTGGTTTCTGGGCAGCAAACAGACTTTCATCCACATTATTCAACTATGCCCTTCACCTGGAAGCAATTTTAATTTAATTTTCCAAGATGGCCCTTATTAAGTTGTGCTCCTGAAGCAAAAGGAAGCTCAGTGAACTGTGCCAAAGACTGAAGTTGCTCAGTGTTCTTGCCTCATTTCTTTCTGCACTTCCTGAAGCATAGCTGTAATTTTCACTACAGAATTACTGGAGTAATACAGCAACAGCTGTGTACTAGTGAGTTAGCTAACACTGGACTGTCAATACTCAAAAAGTATCACTCCAGTAGCAAGTGTTCTGAAGGAGTTGGTGAAAATGTCACAACTAGAAACAGTGCACATTGGTATTAGGGGATAATTTGAAAAGTACCTTTTTGGGTAGGATAAGTATAGCAGTCCCTCAATGGACAGTGATCCTAGTGAACATTGGCTGTCTAAGAAAGACTTAGATCAGAAAGATTTGACCTCCGCTCACTATAGTCAGTGGCATATGGGGAGTTGGATAAGTCCTTTACCAATGATGTGGTCTCTCTCATATCCTTCAGGCCAAAACTACACTTAGGTTTTAAAACTGTTCCTGGGATTGATTTATTTTTAAATAACTCGATGTTCAGTCCCTTTAAACCAAGATAAAGGTAGTTAAAGAATACACATCTAACTCTGCTTAATAGTAGTCTGTCACTATTAATTTATAAACGTCATCTAGAGAGATGTTCTATTTTCATTATTAATCTTGGGTAAAATTTTCAAAAGCACCCAAGTGATTTACAGCCCAGATCCTTAAAGGTAGTTAGGCCCTAAATACCTTTGAGGACTAGGGCCACTGGAGCCTAAGTAATTTAAGCACTTTTGAAAGTTTTGCCCCTTGACAAAAAGAGAGGGACTAAATTCACTCTTCCGACTTACAGCACCACTTCTGTGCTATAGCTTTATGAGAATTCTAAGTATGGAATATACAAATTACAGTACTAAGTTTTTTGGCCTTTTGAAAAAAAACCCAATAATAATGACAGGGCAAAAGCAAGTTTAAGCCCTAGAGGAAACAACAAAAACATTTCAGCAGATAACAACAAAAAACCCCAAAAGGTATCTGTCTTTAACTGAAAATATAAAAGCACATGCAGAAAAAAATAGGACCAAGTTCTTTCTCTCTCTCTCTTTTTTTTAATTTAAATAACAACCCACTTTACAAATAAGGGGGAAGATAAATGGGGGGCTGAGGTCCCCCTTTATGCTACAATACATGTCCTATTCATATTATCATAACAAGCATGTTTTCCCCTCAATTCAATTATTTAAAAAATGAACCTTTTTGAACACAAAACTCTGAAGTTAAGATTTTCAGCCAACTATGGCTACATTCCCTATTTTACTTCAAAAAAAAAATCTGCAAATTAAACCATTCATGTTGAGAGATTAGAAGGAGAAATAAATGATTAATTACACTTTCAAAGGTTATATTCAAAATATTTTATTTATTTCTCTCATTTATGTGTCAACTCTCACAGAAGTTATTGGGAGTTGAGGATGCTCAACAACCTGCATAATTGAACCAATAGTTTGTGAAATGCTTTATGATGCTTTGGATCAAAAACGTGTTACAAATGCATCCTCATTAAAATATGTACCAAATTAATTCCATGTGTACTTAAGTTGTGCATCTCTCTATACTCATTTTGGAGCTTTGATTCAAACAATTCTTCAATAGAAAGTGTTTCTACATTAGTATAGACTGAACCTATAAAAACATGCGATATTATTAGGAAATTTCTTAGGAAGCTACTAGGAATATAATTTAGCTTTTCCAAAACTGAATCTACTATTTTGTAAGAAAAATCACTTAAAACACATATGCAGTCTTCTTATAAAGGTATAAACTTTCAAAATGTTGTAAAGAATATAAAGCACAAATCTCAAACCTTGTCTACACACAAATTTTGTAGTGGCATAACTACTTCAGTTACAGGGGTGATCTCTTTACCGAAATAGTTATTCCAGTACAACCCCAATGCAGAAGCATTTATACCGTTATAAAGATGCCTTAAATCAGTATAGCTTATTCACCTGTCTTGTATGGGAATCAGCTATACTGATATAAGCACCTTTATTTCGATACAATTAAGTCCATAGTGGTCGAGTTAAATAACTTGTGCGTGTAGACAAGGCCCAAGTAGTGCTAATAAAAGTATGAGCATGACTCACCTACATCACATTTGGAAGCATTCTCCATTGCTCCACTACATGAAGTACAGGACTGTTCAGTTTTAAACTGGTACGACAGCCACTCTTGCATAAATATTTCAGAAATATCTCTTATGCCAAATAGAGGTCATAGTAAATAAAAACTAGTTATTCCCAAAATTATAAACATCATACTATTTACCTTGGATTCACATTCCACAAACAGCTTGGCCACCACACCAAATAACGCCAAATCAAGTTTCCTAGGCTCAACATCGTCTGGTAGAAGGAAGTACTCAATGTGGTAGTAACGCCGCATTTTTGGAATAGCTGCTGCATCTTTCCCAACATTAGACTTTTTTCTCTGCCTGTCAGTTAAATTGGATGGCCTATGCTTTGGACCTAGGAAAAATATTTATATGGATTTAGAAAGTTTCAGATGTTGTCAAGCTCAGCACAGCAACAGATCCTACAGCCCTGCAACTCCCCACCACCTATGACCCTATGCTACGCAGACAGCTTGCATGGAAGAATCAGGACTCTTTACTACACAACTCCTAAGTACACTCCTGCCACATCCAGATACCCCTATTTAACATCAGAACCACACCAGTTCTGTTGCAAAGTTGCCCATGGGCCCAGGGGCTAGATTTGCCTCTAATAACACTATTCCTAGATTAGTAATTGATTATATTTTTGATAATATAGCTCATAAATAATAAAGGAAACAAAAAACCTATCAGTTAAAACTTCAGGTCTTTTTAAATAAAGAAAAGAAACCAGATAAAAAGATGTGCTTGTCAAATAGATAGTTACTGGTGAAAGAGCTTTACTAGATTTAAGCCTAGTCCTGCTCAATCCACAGGACAAACATCCCAAATTTCCAATGAACACAATATCACAAATAATAGTAAAACCAAAGACACAATGAACAAATGTTTGCTAGTAGCCTTCCACAGGACATTGCTGAGCTATGTTCTGATTAGGGCTTCCAATTAATCGTTGTTAACTCAAGTGATATATTCAAAACAAATTAATTTAGTTAAAAAGATTAATCACGATTAATCACAGTTTTAATCACACTGTTCAACAATAACAGAATACCAATTGAAATTAGAAATATTTTTGGATGTTTTTCTACATTTTCAAATATATTGATTTCAATTACAACACAGAATACAAAATGTACAGTACTCACTTTATGTTATTTTTTATTACAAATGTTTGCACTGTAAAAAAACAAAAGAAATAGTATTTTTTAGTTCACCTCATACAAGTTAACTGTAGTGCAATCTCTTTATAGAGAAAGTGCAACTTACAAAAGGGTTTTTTTGTTACATAACTGCACTCAAAACCAAAACAATGTAAAACTTTAGAGCCTACAAGTCCACTCAGTCCTACTTCTTGTTCAACCAATCATTAAAACAAACAAGTTTGCTTACATTTACGAGAGATAATGCTGAGCGCTTCTTATTCACAATGTCACCTGAAAGTGAGAACAGGCATTCGAATGGCACTTTTGTAGACAGCATTGCAAGGTATTTATGTGCCAGAAATGCTAAACATTCATATGCCCCTTCATCCTTTGGCCACCATTCCAGAAAACATGCTTCCATGCGGATGATGGGTTCTGCTCAAAAACAATTCAAAACAGTGCAGAATGTAGAAAACATCCAAAATATTTAAATAAATGGTATTCTATTATTGTTTAACAGTGCGATTAATCTCTTATTTTTTTAATAATTTGATAGCCCTAGTTCTGCTGTCTCCTTATTTTATGTTCTTTTCAGTATTCCTTAAACATGATGTTGTTTCTGAACCTTTGAACTTTTTCTACAGATCTGCCCTCACTGTTTAAAATACAGGTTTCTCTCTCTCCTCCCATCCCAAATATTGTTTTAAGATTACTGGATCAGGTCTTCAGATGGTGTAAAACAACATAGCTCCACTGACCTCAACAAAGCTGCACTGATTCACATCAGCTGAGGAATATATGGTTCATAGAATCATACCATATCAACCAATATTAGCTGGCCAGATTCACTTTAGCATTTCTATTCAGCCATCTGGAGTTTCTCTACAATAGAAAAATGTATAACGCAGATCCAGCCCTTTAGTCCTTGGTTTATAACTAACAGACGTTTGAGAGGGAAAATGCTTTCCCCCGCCCCCAATCTGGGCTAATCCTGCAGCCTCTCTCTGTACAGAATTGCCCAATGCTGTCAATAAGAGTTCCACATGTGGCTTCAGAATCAGGCCCATAATGTAGTCTTCATCTCCACTAAGTTGCACATAACATCAAATTTATCACTTGAGTTTTTTGCTTAGTTTCAGTTTTCATTACAAACTACAAACTCAGTCCAGGTTTGCCAACAGGTTCAATGACGTTCAGAACCTCTTGAGTAAAGCCCAGCACCAATTCTTAGTTCTACTTTAAAATCGTACAAAATTAATGGCTACACATGTTCTTGACCTGTAACTAGATGAAGTTACGACAGAATCTCCCTTACAGATACTGGTTTTGTCCCACATATATTCATACTATAATCCAAATGATTGCTTGCATAAACCTCTAGCCTTCACAGTGAAAGATGCATACAGGAAACTGTTAAAAGTCAACTGGAAATATATTTTCCTGGTTTTTAGTGCTGATGCACGTATTAGTTGTAAACGCGGAACTGTCTGGCATCTAACAATCCTGTCGAATCATTTTAATGAATAATAAATTAATCTGATTACACACGATGCATGAAAAAAGAAACAGTATCAGTATTAAACAAAAAGTAATCCGTATCCTAACTAAATATTGTCATTCCCACAGTTGTATAAGAATTGGTAATGCTGGAGAATAGGTAAGAAAAGATCCTGAAAGTAATAATGTTCATTATATACACTTGAGGGGAGACAAAGATCTGTCAAATAAACAAAGGACAAAAAATGAGAATTTTCCAGACAATAGAGAATTTTAAATCTATAGTAAAAACATATTGATTGGGAACATCCGCACATAGATACTATGGTAGCAGGTGCATTAAATATTTATACCTAAGTTAGATATAGTACCTAACCCACCTTTCCCTTAAATTACAATGGAATTCAATGGGACAGCTCACAATGAATAAAGATTAGCACTTGCAGGACTGGGAATGCCTGAAAAGGTGCTTCACTGGAAAATAAACACATAGACAGACAAAGTACAGCACAGCAGCAGCTGCCCCAGCTACCCTATACTGACACATCACATGAGCCTTAGTCCTGATCTAAGGAGACCACGTTTAGAGCTAAAGGAAAGGAATTTAACCTCCATAGCCAGTTACCTCTTGGCCACGCTAGGCAGATTATAAACACAGGAATCAATTACAATGATTGTTTTTGCAAAGACTGACTAAGACCATCAACTTGAATAACACTGGCTACTGAAGAGCTATCAAATGGTATAGGTTTTCAGTCACTATGACCTAAGCCTGAAACTGAATCTAATGGTACATAACCATTCCCTTGAGCATCTTCTATATAATACTATAAAATTAGCAAAGTCAACAGGACCCCATGATAGTATTACAAGGGCGAGGAGACCCACCCATAACTACAGCTAGAAGGGATATAAATGAGCCAACATCCTTTCTGCAGTTTGCTTCCCAATCCCATTTGGGTCTGGAGATGAGCCACAAGGGTTAAAGGAACAGGAGGGGTCATGTCTGGTACCTACCTGCAGCCATTGGCACAGCTAGTGAAATTGAGAATGTACACATTACTGTGTGTGAGGTGTCAAGTTGCTCCAGGTTCTTCTCAAAGAACAAGGGCCTGCTGTCTTCGTCCTCAGGGGTGGGGTGGCCACCGTCCCCAAGTACATCCGGGGTTTCAGTTTCAAAGCTGCTTTCAGAGCCAAGGGCCTCCAACTCCACTTCCACCACTGCTTCTTCCTCTTCCTCCACCATCTTTGTCTTTGAATCCTGGGCAAAAGGTTCTGTCAGCTCTCCAGAGACATCCTCCTTTTGCTTTTGCAATGCCATCCTACAGCCCAGTCACCAGCACCTTGATTCTCTGGCTGCAGAGTAGAAAAGGACAAGTCCTTATTCCATTGCCGCTGTATACCAGGAGTGAGCAGTCACCTCTGCCAGTGCCCATGCAGTGGTGGGGAAGAGGAGTTTAGGGGCGGCAGAAAAACCTGTTACTTCTCTCTCAGGAATGCTTTTAAACCCACACATATAATATCCAGGGATTAATTCCTGGAGGCAGGGAGAAGCCACACAAAGGTCTCCAAGCAGCAGACCAAGGCAAACAGCAAGTCAACATACTTGGCAAATAATAAAGCGAAGCACAGAAGAAACACAAAGGGAAAATGTGTTCAGCTGGTAGCTAGTAAGCTACCGAATTTTTAAAGGGAAGAGAGATTTTTTTCATGGGAGAGGATGAATAGAGGCAGGGGAAGAGAGATTAAAATAACTTCCCCACTTCCCCAACCCACATATAAATCAGACGGCCCTGATCCTGCAATCACGTAGGCACATGCTTGGAGCCTAGCACAGTAACCCCTGGTATTGCCATGGCGGTAACAGAGGGAAAGCCACCACCCTCCCACGGTACCAGCGAGAATGAGCCTTTTTTAAACAGGGAGTCCATTAGGAAGCAGCTGCAATTCTTGCCCCCAGGCAGCTGCTTGTGTTCCTGGGGTAAGTAGCTGGGGAGGGCTTGCGGTGCTCTCCGGGAGACTGGCAGGCAGCAGCAGAGAGCACACCGGGGTTATCAGGAGAACCCGGGTCTCAGTGGACCCGGCACTGCACATACATGGATACCCCCCCCCCAAACACAGCCTCTCTCTTCTAACCTGCCTCTTTAAACTTTGCATCCAGACCGATTTTATAGGGACAGTCCCGATTTTTGGGTCTTTTTCTTATATAGGCTCCTATTACCCGCCCCCCCATCCCGATTTTTCACACTTGCTGTCTGGTCACCCTAAGACTGGTAATTGCAAGCACATATTATTCATATAGCCGCATGTCAGAGCTGCCCCCTGCCCGCGCAGCACCCAGACGAGGACGGAGCGCTCCGGTTCCCCGGGCTCCTTCCCTGCAAACGGCCAGGGGGCTCCGCACTCCTAGCTGCGCCCGAGCCAGCGCTGCGCTGCGCCGCGGGGAACGCACCTTTCCCTGCCCCGGGAACCGGAGCGGCGGGCGCGGCCACCCCTGCCCCGGCTCCCCGCAGCCTGCCGCTGGCAACAGAGGGTTCCACGCTCTGGAACCCGGGGCTCGCGTGTCCCGTCTCCCTCCGCCTCGCCAAAGAGTCCCCGTTCCGCTCGGCGCCCGAGCCAAGCTGTGCCCAGCCCAGAGCGCACGGATCCGCGGCGAGGCGACGTGGCCGCAGAAGTTGCTAGCGGAGAGCGAGAGCCTGGCTGGGAGCTCGGGGCAGAGGCGGGCTGACCGGCTCACCCGGGGAACCGCAGGGCGTCCCTGCGGCGTGGGGAGATGGCACCGGGGATGCGAAGCGGGGAACCCCACGGGCCTGGGGAGGTGGCATGGGGGATGCGAGGCGCGGAACGACACAGGCATCATTGGGGCATGGGGTACACTGCAGGTATCACTAGGATGCAGCACGAGGAATGCCTGGGTAGTGCCAGGAACGCCATGGCCATCGCCCACCGCAGCAGAGGGCAGGACGAGGCCTCAGCAGGACACAGCCTCGTGCACTTCAAAGGAGGGACCATGCCTAGTGCCTTCTTTTGTGCCTGTGCAGGGCTTAGCACACTGTGGGCGGAAATGGAAACAAGAAACGAATAATAGTAATAACACCAGGGCATACCAGGGGGGCCTTGTGCAACACAGTATATTACAGGGACAGACTGTCACTAGATGTGACCAGCACCAGATCTCTTTAATGCCTTTCAATATGCCCTGCTGCCTGCGGCAGTGACAAGGCACAAAACACAGCCCGTTATTTGCCCAAATAGTACCTGTAGAAATAGTACGTGTGTATGAATTACTGTTCGGTCTAGCAGGGACTTTATGTCCTCATGCTCCCCTTTCCAACGGCCAGTTGAGTCCTGGCTGGAGCACTGCTTCAATACTGATTGAGAAGAAGGATTAGTTACTAAATCAACATCCAACTCCTACAGTCCCATTGGTCTACTCCAGAGTCTCCTGTCCACCTACAGAATTAGCTGAACCCTGCTTAGTTTATGAGGCATGACAAAAATTACAGCTGGTGGGAGTAAGGCTGCTAGATTGGATTGATTGTGAGCTAGCTGATGAGAAATAGATGTACTTCAGTAATGGTCAGCAGAGCCTGAAAGAAAAACAACGAACACTACTTAAATAAGTCACTGCTCAGAATAGGGAATGAGATGCTGATTCAGGCAAAGGCACTGGAAGTTTCGATGTCTAGTTAATATTCTGTAGAGCAGGGATTCTCAAACTTTTGTACTGGTGACCCCTTTCACATAGCAGGCCTGTGAGTGCGACCTCCCCCTTTTAAATTAAAAACACTTTTAAATATATTTAACGTCATTATAGATGCTGGAGGCAAAGCGGGATTGGGGTAAAAGCTGAGACTTCACGACCCCCCGAGGGGTCCTAACCCCCAGTTTGAGAACCCCTGTGTAGAGAGAGGAGGTGAGTGAGGTAATATCTTTAATTGGACCAATTGCTGTTGGTGAAAGAGACAAGCTTTTGAGCTACACAGACCTCTTCTTCAGGTCTAGCATTCTGTAGACTAATTATTTTTTAAATGGGTATTCATGTACACCTCTACCTCGATATAATGCTGTCCTCGGGGGCCAAAAAATCTTACTGCATTATAGGTGAAACCGTGTTGTATCGAACTTGCTTTGATCCACCGGAGTGCGCAGCCCCGCCCCCCGGGAGCACTGCTTTACCGCGTTATATCCAAATTAGTGTTATATCGGGTTGCATTATATCGGGGTAGAGGTGTATTTAAAATTTAACTACAACTTGTCTTAAGGTCCTGAATAAATATATTAGGGTATTTTTAACACCTTAGGGGGACAACATGTGGAGCATTTTATGGTGGTTTTTATTTTGCTTGAGATTTAATTTGTGATTATATTAAATAGTCCTGTTTGAAGATTGCTATTGAATTCTTATGTTAGAATCTGTGTTCTGATTGATGAGTAGGGTTAGCCACCCATTTAAAATAAGTGACTGCTGTTACAATGTGGCAATTTGTATTTCTGTGGTGACTCTTCATCTGGATATTTCAAAGAATTTCACTAAAATTAATCAATTAAGCTTTGTGGCATAGGCAAGTACAACTCTACATATTTTACAGAATGATAAAGTGAGACCAGGGATGCTGTGGCCAGTTTGACAGGTGATGCTGTGGTCTGAACTCTGATTGTGCCCCTTGTCTGGCTAGCCATGCCTGCAAAACCTAAGGATTCCCAACAGTGCGGCGTTCACATAGGTTTTGCAGGGAAAGAGAGAATGGTTTTGCATAGGTACAACACCCTTTTTTCTGACAGATTTGGGGCCTTTTTAGTGGCGGTATTGCTATTTTCATCTGTTCCATAGCAAAATTCAGAACAGTTTTCCCTTTAAGTAGTACCCTTGTAGATGGACTACAGTCAGGTCTGCCCTGTGAGCCAACATACAAGCCCTCTGGCAGAATAAGTCAGAGTTCCCTGCAGATCTTAATATTTTACATTTTGAGATTGATGCAACAAGTTACTTTTTAGTAGGGCTGTCGATTAATCGCAGTTAACTCACACGATTAACTCAAAAAAAGTAATTGCGATGTAAAAAATTAATCTCAATTTTAATCACATTGTTAAACATCAGAATACCAATTGAAATGTATTAAATATTTTGGATGTTTTTCTACATTTTCATAAATATTGTATTCTGTGTTATAATTGAAATCAAAGTGTATATTACATTTTATTATAAATATTTGCACTGTAAAAATGATAAACAAAAAAAATAGTATTTTTCAATTCAGCTCATACAAGTACTGTAGTGCAATCTCTTTGTCATGAAAATGAAACTTATAAATGTAGATTTTTTTTTGTTACTTAACTGCACTCAAAAACAAAATACTGTAAAACTTCAGTGCCTACAAGTCCATTCAGTCCTACTTCTTGTTCAACCAATAGCTAAGAGACACAAGTTTGTTTACATTTACAGAAGATAATGCTGCCCTCTCCTTATTTACAATGTCACCAGAAAGTGAGAATAGGCATGGCACTTTTATAGCTGGCATTGCAAGGTATTTACATGTCAGATATGCTCAACATTCATATGCCCCTTCATGCTTTGGCCACCATTCCAGAGGACATGCTTTCATGCCGATGATGCTCATTAAAAAAATAATACGTTAATTAAATTTGTGACTGAACTCCTTGGGGGAGAATTATATGTCCCCTGCTCTGTTTTACCAGCATTCTGCCATATATTTCATGTTATAGGACTCTCGGATGATGACCCAGCAAGTGTTGTTCATTTTAAGAACACTTTCACTACAGATTTCACAAAACACGAAGGTACCAATGTGAGATTTTTAAAGATAGCTATAGCACTCGACCCAAGGTTTAAGAATCTGAAGTGCCTTCCAAAATCTGAGAGGGATGAGGTGTGGACATGCTTTCAGAAGTCTTAAAAGAGCAACACTCCGATGCAGAAACTATGGAACCCAAACCACCAAAAAAGAAAATCAACCTTCTGCTGTGGCATCTGACTCAGATAATGAAAATGAACATGCATCAGCCCGCCCTGCTTTGGACGCATGTCCCCTGGAATGGCTGAAGCATGAAGGGACATATGAATCTTTAGCGCAACTGGCATCTTGCGACGCCGGGTACAACAGTGCCAGGAGAACACCTGTTCTCACTTTCAGGTGATGTAAACAAGAAGTGGGCAGCATTATCTCCTGCAAATAAGAGGAGGCTGAAGCGATTGGCTGAACAAGAAGTAGGACTGAGTGGACTTGCAGGATCTAAAATTTCACACTGTTTTATTTTTGAATGCAGTTTTTTTGTATATAATTCTACATTTGTAAGTTCAACTTTCAAGATAAAGAGATTGCACTACCGTCCTTGTATTAGGTGAATTCAAAAAATACTATTTCTTTTGTTTTTTTACAGTGCAAATATTTGTAATCAAAAATAAATATAAAGTGAGCACTGTACACTTTGTATTCTGTGTTGTAATTCAAATCAATATATTTGTAAATGTAGAAGACACCCAAAAATAATTAAATAAATGTTATTCTATTATTAACAGTGTGATTAACCGCGATTACTTTTTGTAATCACTTGACAACCCTACTTTTTAGCCTTTTGGCTACAATCAAGTGTTGTATCAGTTAAATATCTGATATGTTCACGATTGTGCACTGCACTGGTCCTGGGGGAGAAGGGTCAGGTGAGATGAAGAATCTAACTAGTTTTTTCCATTTCTAATTTCTGTGACTTGGGGGGGGGGAGGCTGTTTTTCTTGATTTTATACATTATTTTGGGATTTCCCCCAATCTATATTTGTGATAATGCTGAAATAAATGGTGAAAGAAAGGTGACAAGTGACTTAAAATGAGGAGTGGTAGCGCCCTCCAATATACTCCCCTTGTGGCTCTGTTGATCTGACCCTTCATGGTACACTAGGATCCAGATGTTAAGAATTATGCATGTGCATAATATGTACTTGCAATTACCAGAGTTATCCATACAGTCATAGTATTTGTGTGGCCAAAGGGCCAGGTGGATCTTTAATTGAGCATGTATATATGCAGTTATGTTCCCACATAATTCTAGAAATCTGGGCCGGGATGATTGAAGCACTGGCACATACTTCTTATTATTACATTCATTTGTAAAGCACCCGCCACCTCTGCTAGGTATAAGTGCTTGCCCATGTACCAGCTTATGTTTGGAGTTTACTTAGGACTTCTAGATCTTTGATCTCATATTTGCAAATAATCATTCAAAAGGTTTCAGCTTTCAAATTTTCAGCAGCTGAGTTGGAACACACTACGGAAGGATAAAACCATCATCTCTCAAAATTTGTAATATACCAAATATATATGAAATTTTCCCAGTGTAATACCAGTTAGTGTATAGACATTATTATTTATCCTTTGGTGAGCGCTGACAATGTACTCCAGTGATGCACATAACAAGGATGGAGAAACAGGGAATTTACAGTTTATACTAGTTATACACCATATAGTCAAAACAATTGCATATATACAAGCTATTGTATGATGAATGACAAACCTTCAGGCAATTTATTTTAAGTAAGATGTTTTGGTTTCTTAAATAGAGAGCAATGCAAAGTGGCAGACAGACTGTCATCAAAAATCTCAGCAGAATAAGTGAACTTTGAAAACACACCTTTCTCCAGGACACCTATAAACCCTGGCCTGGCATCACACCATGTTAACTTTCA